ATAACAATGTTTTATAAGACATAACAATGTTTTACAAGACATAACAATGTTTTACAGCACATAACAAAACCCATAATTATAACAAGTTTTTATAGCAGCCCATAACAAAGTTTTATAGTACCCGTTTTATGCAGAGTATATACAACTCACTTTAACATAAAAACAACTCTTAATTATTTTCTTCATAAAAATATGTACGTACAAATAATGTACAGCCATATGGGGACAAAATATATGGACACATAGTATTTTAACAAATACTCGCCACCAATATGTACATACAAATAATATTATATATATATACATAATATATAAATATATTTAGACACGCAAATTTTCTACGTGCAAAGTTTAATAATCCCATAGCTTATCATTCTTCCATCATAATATAACATCCCATTCATCATAAATTATAATATCTCATCATAATTATAACATAATGAAACTAATTTCATACATGATCCTACCTTTAACACGTCATTTCCTCATTATAAAGGATTACGGTATAACGCACAGGACTATAAACTGGTTTCAATTTCAACATAATGGCTTCTATTTAATTTTGAGAAAATAAAATCGGGAATAAATTGTGGTTCATACTAACTGAATTAGAGAAACTCTAAACCTCATAAGTCGTGTTTAATTGAAAAACATCATTTGAGAAATATTTTCACAAAGGAAAATCATAAATCTAATAATGTTTCCGATACCACATGTAAACATTACGAAGCCCTTAATGTCGAAAACTAATACAGATCTTTTTTAGATTATTCACAATTTTACATGTTATCAATACATTTAGTCATAAGAAGAAGACTAACCTTCATCCATGAGAATTTTTCTTCGGATCTTTCAAATTTTTTATCTCTTTTTCAATCTAGTTCCTCGTCTTTCTCCTTCACGCCGCTCGACGGGCTACAAAATTTTACGCTGTAGACAAATTTAATCCCTTTATTAATTAACGTTCAGAGCCGGGCACGCAGTTAATATTTTATTTTATCTTTATTTTATTTCGACTACATAATAATCAATGTCCTCATATTTTATTAAATCACATTTGATTCATTATTATTATTATCACATAACGAAATGAATTAATCGTTCAATTTAACATGGTTATATAGTCCGAAAACCGATCATAAACTTGAGAAATCGTCCCGTTCAGCTGTGTGAAATCTACGCTTAAACCCAATGCGCTGCCAGCAACTCCCTTAATTTGGTGGAACATGATATTTCTAGAACGTGAGCAACAAAATACCTACATCAACTTGCTTGCTCGTGTTTCGTTAATCACAGTTTGATGTAGCTTATTCCAGCTTAACAATTAATTCGGCCAATATGATGTACGTTACAGCATCCGTAACTTTGAATAATTCCTTTTACGTAATAAAATAATTTAACAGTTTTTTTATGTAATTGATGTAATTATAATTATATGTCAATTGAAATGGGTAAAAATTTACGGATATGGACAAGTCATATTAGGTAAGACGAATTTGTAGTGAAAAAAATCTCATAATAAGATTTTGGTCTTGAATATTTGTTTCATTTAAATGTTGTTGCATGACACAATTTTGCATTTTTATATTTTTTATCAAAGTTGTATTTGATGACACAAATTATATAAATCATATTTTTAAAATTGACACCACATTATTATTTATATATTTACTTTTTATATATTTATTTTAATTATACAATAATATTATATTTTTACCATTTTATACGTAAGATTGTAAATTCACAAATAACAAAATTTAAATTATAATAATAATTAAAACAAACAAAATATATTAATATTAAAAATAAAATATATAACATTATTAGTGTGGACCTGAATAATAATAATAATAATAATAATAATAATAATAATAATAATAATAATATATTATTATAATTATTATTATTATTATTATTATTATTATTATTATTATTATTATTATTATTATTATTATGACTTTAGTAGATAATATAGTTATATTTTATGTTTATTTAAATATTATTTATTTATTTATTTATAATAAAATTTAAATATTATAAGAAGACTAATAATTTTTTTTTAGTATGAGTCTAAGTCCAAGTAGTAAAAATAAGTAAGAATACATATATAAGTAAATAAATCGGTCAAATCTAAATAGGTATAAAAAATTATCATTTAGTAAGAGTTATAATCTCTATCTTTAAGATTTAAGATTTTAAATTAAAAATAATATAAATATCTTAAAACTTATTTTGGATTAAAGATAACGGTGAATATTTTAGGTGTGAATTGGGTTCATGGTTGGTATTTCAATATAGCCGTGGTGTCTGGCAGATTAAAAATGATATTTCTATTAAAACTCTTGGTGGACTGGGCTATGCAAACTTGTCTCATTATGATGGGGTATTAGATACTGAGATTTGAAAACATATTTTGCATTGATAATAAGAAAGAAAGATAAAGCAAGGAAAATTAGTTTTTTTATTACTATTTAAATAAGAAAGGCGAGAGGAATGATATTTTGACATTTACTGTTCAAACAACTTTTCAACCACCTTTTTATTAATATAATAATAGTAAAAAGATTTAATAAAAATAAATTAAAATTATTATTATAATATAAAAAGTAAGTTATACCTTAAAATTATATGAAATGAGGTTGTCAAAATCTCATTTTCTTATTATTATATATTATATAATATAATAATTCAATATGATAAGATATTAATAGTGTTGAATTGTGAATATTTTGCATCATTATATTATTATTATATTATTATTATTATTATTATTATTATTATTACAAAATATATAACTTTAAAACGTTATAACTTAGTCAATTGATTAAAAAACTTGTTTCTTTTAACATATATTATTTGAATT